GTGATTATAGAAATACAGTCTTCCAATTCCTGCACATATACGATGTTAAAATGGAAAAAAATAGTTTTGTTGTCAAGTGTCGTACTGCATATTGTGTTATTTTAAATTTTATTCGTCAGTTTGTGTAGGCCATTACAATATAGGTAGGTACCCTAACTAATTCCTTATCCGAAACAAACAGAACTGTATTTTATAATTTTTATTTTCAACAAAACGTTGTGTTATCTTACTTAAAATATTATCTCACAATAATGGTACTTACCTATAGCTGGTCCTTTTAAATGTCACCAAAAACTACTTAGGGGTGCTGAGCTCACATGTTTTTCAATTTTTGTAGTGCACCGTGCACCGTACATTCAATACGTCTGATCTTCATTGGTTTTATTATAATGCGTTTATTACATATTGGAACCCGTCACACCAGTAACCGGCATGGTAGGCAGGGCCCCCCCCCCCCTGGAGCCGCCACTGATGGTAGTTACTTACTATTTCGTAGAGAAGCATCAGTGTGATGCAGTAAAAAAAAAAAAAACCACGTGTGTAATATATTATTTAAACTTATACAGCCGTCGTCTTGGGTCATTGAATAATTATTTTAGTACTATGTTTTAAGTTTCATGCCGTAGGACGGATTATGCACTGATATTTTTGATAACGTCACATTTTTCATCATAGGTACCTAACGATAGTAATAATATGTAAAATACATATTATATGATCGGGCTATGACCGATAAAATAAATTTCTAGTTCATGAGCCCATTTTATTAATTATCTACATTACTTGCGTATATCTGACAGTTTATTAAATCATTAATTATTCCATGTACCTATGTATAATGTATATTGTATGTAACATAATATAATATGTATTTAGGTATTTATACACATATTATAGTGTTTTAAGCTTACAGTATTATCTGTAAAAACTACCTATGTGCTATGTATAATATACATAAATAAAACTATATAATACGAAAATAAAATAATTTTATGTTATTTGATGACGTTTTTAATATTAACAAGAAAATGTTTGCAATTATTTCACGACCTTATTTATATATGATATTATATTACCTATGTACGTGTATTTTTATCATATACGTAGTAGAATAAATGATAATATGTAGAGGTGTACACGAAGTGGTGACAATCTGGAAGAATGTGAGGAGGTGACCACTGATCAAGCAACAAATAATACTTAAAATATCTGTTTGAAAATGCAATAATGCTCACTTGTTTTTGTATATAAGTTGTACTTTTTTTTATTAAACTTTAAATAAACTTAACAGATAAATTGTAATTTTTTTTTTTTAGATTTAAACGAATGTTACTCAAATGAAATAATAAAAGAAGGTAAATGTTCGTCTTTAATAATTAAAATTGTTTATATAATATTATATTTTAAATTCTGAGCTATTTTATAAATTCAATATTGTAACTTAAAGGACTATACAACTAAAAAAAACCTATTTTTTTTTTATTGTTTTAATGTATAGGGCTTTGAAAAAGAATAATTTTGGTGGTCTTAAAATTGTTGTCGGACAATTGGTTCCGTGTTTAAATATAAGTCGCGTTTTACGCGTGACGTCATAAAATCACATCGTCCGACGGGTCGTACTAAATATACACGCGCGGAATTTATTTCGCGCGATTAAAATAATTATAGAGAAAAATTAATTAAAGGTACAAGTTATTAAAGTACATTTATAAAAAGGTTATACACTTCTTTAGATGGTCATATTATTTTTATTGTGTTGAAATTTGTTTCAGGGTAGTTTATAGGAAAGACAAAAAAATAAAATTTACATATAAGGTATATTTAATAATATTATAATCCGTTATTTAATGTATTAACGAATGTGTTATTATAATTAATAATATAAGAACTGTAATTAATGTGTAAAAAAAACCTCAAAATAAAATATTATCATTCAATAAAGGTGAGTACCCTAGAATAGAAGTGTAATAGTAGGTTTTAAACAACTATAAAACTAACAACTTACATATTATTATTTTATGTACTATATTATGAATTATAATGTTTAACTTATTATAATAAGAAATAGATAACATGAATCACGGATTTTGAAAACCAATATATAATCCGTTTTCTTCCGGATAACGTTCACGAATTTTTGTGACCACACATGATGGAATAACAACTCTATTCCCTATAGTATAAAACAAACACAATAAACAATAAATTATTATATTTTAGATTCTGAGCGGAGCGATGAATGTATTGGTTTTACAATGATGTATGTTTTTATATTTTTATATTTTTATATTTTTATTTATATTTTTGTGTCTGTCATCACGTTTTAGGACAGTAAAAGTGCTTGGATTTTCTTCATCAGTAGCTTTTCTGATAGGAAAGTGAATCTAGTTGGCACTTTGGGGGGTCAAAAGTATAAATTTCCCAGTAGTTTTCACAAGCGCCGGGAAAAACAACATAAAAATTAAGGAAAAACGGGAATTTTTACGCAAAATCGGTTTTTGACAAAATCGAATTTGGTTTTTGGTGTAACTTTTAAACAAATGAACGTAGATACATGAAATTTTCACTGGTTGTTTATATTTGCATTTTCTATACACGATAACATTTTCAAAATATTTTGATTTATTTTGAACTGTTTAGAGACATTTTCATTTTTCATTTTTTTTTAGTTTTTTTTCTAGAAATATCAATAAAATTTTATTTGTTGGTTGCGAAAGCTTGAAAATTTAATAGAAGGCTCCTAATATGTTGTTTCAAAGGCAGATGAAAAATATTAAAAATCCTTAGTCACAATTTTTTTTATAAGCATTTAAAGTTCAAAAATTGACAAAATATGGAAAAATCACGAAAATTAGCAAATTATTTTGAGTTAAGAATTCGTAAAAATTTTTCTTTTTAAATCTAAGATTTGAAAATGAAACACAAGATTCCTTATAAGATTATCTACCTTTATCAATAAAAAAATCTCTACCGGACAGTCAAATTAAATTTTTATGAGCGTTTGAAATTCAAATTTTTACAACATTGGATTTTCACTCGATTACTCATGTAGCGATTTCCTTATTTTGTTGCAATTCAAAAACGAACAACTGTAGATACATGAAAATTTCACTGAATCTTTAAATTAGCATTTTCTATACACCATACAATTTTGAAAATATTTTGACTCTTTTTGAGCTGTTTATGGACATTTACAGCTTTCAATTTTTTTTAGTTTTTTTTTCTATAAATATCAATAAAGGTGTATCTGTTGGGCCAAAAAGTGTAAAAATTTAATACAAGGCTCCTGATATATTGTTACAATAGCAGTTGAAAAATATTAAAAATACATAGGCATGATTTTTTTTTATAAGCATTTAAAGTTGGAATTTTGACAAAATTTATCAAAATCTCGAAAATTATAAAATGTTCAGTTTTTATAACTAAGAGTTGAAAATTTAAAACAAAGATTCTCTTAAATAATTCATACTGTAACCAAAAAATCTAAAAAATATATAAACACACTTATTTTTTACAGACATTTTAATTTCAAATTTAGACAAAATTTCATATTTAAACCAAGAATTACGATTTTAGTTATTTCGTTTTGATTGAATAATATTATTCGTGGGTACTTGAAACTTCTAAAGTGTACTATTATATATCTATGATAGTATCACGGTTTTTGTTGATGTATAACGCGTTATAAGTATCTAATGGATATTGTGATATGATTAGTTTGTAATTTATTATAGGTACCTATTATAGGTCAATTTTGGTTTAATACCATAGATATGTATATAATATGTCTTATACATAGACTGACATACCGTCACCGCTAAGAATCGTTTTTCTTATACAATGATATTATATCATTGAATTCAAATTTAATACCATCCATTATACAGTGACCCACTTGTAACCTACTGTATAGCAGAGCGACACCCACTTGCCCACCTTTTTTTTACTTACCTATGATTTTATCACTGTAACACTATCGAAAATAAATTTACTTACCTCTTCCAATTGTCATCCATGAATTAACCCAAAGTGTAAACTGTTTGTAGCAAATATATCGCCATGCTTTATTTTCCATAGTAGCTGATTGTAAACTTCTTTTTTTTGTTTTATTCTTTGTTTTTGAAATTTTGTATTGTCTGGTAATTTTTAAAATGTCTTCATCTAATATAATTTTTGAAAATGAGGCACTTTTTGTTATGCACTCATTGTTTGTGCACATTTTAAAAATATTCGCAAGTTCAAAACAACAAACACATTCACGATCATTTATTTGTTTTTCACATTTTCCACACGAGCACCAATCTGTTACAGCTAATTTAGATCTATCGTTGTAACTAACTACTGATTCTTCGTTTTCCAAATAATCATAGTTATCAACATCGGTAACCAAAGGCTCAAAATTGTACGGAATTATAGACATAATAATTGTATTATAAAATTCAAAATAGAACAAAAATCGTTTACTGTTTTAGACTCTAGCGCTGAAGTTGAATCAGTCAGCGCACACTGCAGTAGGTACTGTAATAAACGACCATATGAATTTGTATACGTAATCACCAATTAAGTATATTATTTATAGCTTTTATAAATAGCTTATATTTTATGTAATATAAATTAATTGATAAAAATAAACGGGCTATTCACAATACGCATAAATATAAATTATACCTCAGTCGATAGTCGACAGTATGTACCGTGAAGTATCGAAGTATCCGCGTGTTTTCTGGTTTTATTTATAATCAAACAAATATGACTTTGTGCTCGGTATTTGGTTGTGCGTCGAATAACGATCGTAAACGTAAAACAGTTGATAATGATAATAACTTGCATTTTTACACTTTTCCAAAACGCGATAAATCACCATTACGACATCGAAAATGGGAGCATTTTTGTAAAAGAAAAAATTTTAAGCCTAGTGCTGGGTCGGTTATTTGTTCTAAACATTTTATTCCGCTTGATTTTAATCAATCAGATATTCAGATGTTTTAAAAAAACAACTTATGCCAGAATCCAAGTGCATTGTAAGATTAAATCCCGACGCTGTACCTAGTATTCAAACTGGTATAAGCAATTCAAAAAAATCTGTAAATCCCAGGAAAGAATCACTGCATATTATGAAAAAACGCCAAATAGAAATAATTGATGATTTAATAAAAACTAGTACACCGAAGAAAAAAATGGTAACAAAGTCGTCGTTTTTTGAAGAAATTGACGATGTTTCAACTATTGAGGAGCCAGATGTCAATAATAAAATTCAAAAAACAAGTGAAATAGGAATACATTGTGAATTGGGAAACGAAAATTTGATCAGAATAATTAATTATGAAAAAAAAAAATGACTTATCGTTTGAAATAGAATCGGAATCCGAGGACAGCGAAAACACCAGTGATGATGAGACTTCAGAATCGCAAAACAATTATAATACTTGTAAGTCAAAAAATGTTAAATCATCAATAAATTTGAATAAGGATGAGTGTTTTATCGTTTTTTGGGAATGCCTATCAAAGCTTTTTAATAATTGTAATGTGTGTGGGTCAAAAATATTATCATTAAACAATTTTATTCAAGGTTCTTGTCTATGTGTAACTACTGTATGTGAAAAAAATCATACGTTTCAGTGGTACTCACAAAAAAAAAATTAAAAAAGAGCAATTGGTAATATATGCATTGGATCGGCACTAATGTTATCAGGTATATTATTTGCGCAAATGGTTGAATTTTGTCAAGTATTGAATCTACGTTTTTTCTCTAGAACATCTTATGACAAAATCATAAAAAAATATATTGGACCTGTGGTTTACAATGTTTGGACTTATCACAAACAAGATAATTTAAATAATTTAAAGACATTACCCAACATCTGGCTTGCTGGTGATGGCCAATACGATTCGCCAGGTTTTTGCGCAAAATATTGCATTTATTCGGTTATGGATTTAAATAGTTCTAAAATAATTGATTTTCAATTAGTCCAAAAAGGGATGGTCACGGGTGACCTCGAAAGAGCCGCATGCGAAATGTTGATACAAAAATTTATTGTAGAATATGATTGTAAGATTCAACTGTTTTTATCTGACCGTCATAGAGGTATTCGATATTTTTTTCGGACCCAACACCCCGAAATAAATCATGAGTTTGACATATGGCACCTGTCAAAAAGTCTAATGAAAAGAATGAAGACATTAGAGAAAAAATATCCCGATGTATATTTATGGAAATCAAGTATTAATAATCACTTATGGTGGTCAGCACAGACGTGCGAAGAAAATGCCGATTTATTAGAAGATAAATTTCTTTCTATTTTATATCATATTGCTAATATTCATGAATGGACAGACGAAAACGGTATAACAAAACAATGCGAACATGAAAAACTGACGGACGAACAAGTAAAAAATAAGCTTTGGATACATATGAAAACTAGTTCCTATGATGCTTTAAAAAAAATTCTAACTGCGAAGGACTTCATTAAAGATTTGAGACAAGCAAAACATTTTGTGCACACCGGAAAATTGGAATCCTATTACAACGTGAGGCTCAAGTATATGCCTAAACGTATCCATTTACAGTTCAATGGTATGTTCGTACGATCTATATTAGCAATACTCGACCATAACAATAATACTAAAAAAACATTAATAGGAGAAAAAGTTGTATTTTCTAAACCAATAGGACGATTTACAATAAAAAATTCTTACAATAAGACTCAAAATAACTGGAAACGTGATATAATGTCAACAATTATCGAAGAAGCTGAAAAAGAAATTTCTCCACGGCCGTTTGATGTACAAAAAGAATGTAATACCGACATCCCAAAAAATATTTATCGAACACCTCGCCCGCCCTATGAAGAATTAAAATCAAAAAGATATTCAAGATTTACCTAAATAGTAAATATATAATATACCTAACTAGATAATGATAATTATAATAATTCAATTACGTATAATATATTATGTATTTTTGTTTGAAGTAATATAATTTATTTTGAGGTTTTTTTTACACATTAATTTCAGTTCTTATATTATTAATTATAATAACACATTCGTTAATACATTAAATAACGGATTATAATATTATTAAATATACCTTATATGTAAATTTTATTTTTTTGTCTTTCCTATAAACTACCCTGAAACAAATTTCAACACAATAAAAATAATATGACCATCTAAAGAAGTGTATAACCTTTTTATAAATGTACTTTAATAACTTGTACCTTTAATTAATTTTTCTCTATAATTATTTTAATCGCGCGAAATAAATTCCGCGCGTGTATATTAGATATGACCCGTCGGACGATGTGATTTTATGACGTCACGCGTAAAACGCGACTTATATTTAAACACGGAACCAATTGTCCAACAACAATTTTAAGACCACCAAAATTATTCTTTTTCAAAGCCCTATACATTAAAACAATAAAAAAAAATAGGTTTTTTTAGTTGTATAGTCCTTTATATTCTCAGCCCCGTCACATGGTCGTTATAAATTCAGGGAGTAAAAACGATTAACCCTCCTTAAATTATACCCATTCTCAAATCCCAAACAAAATTTGACACACTTTTATACCCGCAAATAATTGTACCCAGCTACTGTTCGTATATCAAATGCGTTTAAAGACCAGCGATAATACAGAGCAGAGGTGCCACCTACACGTCAATGTAGCAAAATTGCATATCCGTAGCGCCGGCTAACAGATGTTAATATTACAATTAAAATTCTTTGCAGACCATAAAGTTCTTTTTCGTTTGTAAGTTTTAGACTCAACAAAGCAAATTATACGTGAATCATATTATAATATTATACCATGTCCACTGATTTTATTTCAACAGAATTTCTTAGTGAAAATATTTTATCAAATAAAATTTTTAAAAATCGGATAAGTGTGTGTCGCTTTGCTGTATTACAGTAGGTTACACATTGGCGACTGAAATGGATGGTGCTAAATTTGAATTCAATGATATAATATCATTGTATAAGAAAAGCGATTCTGAGCGTCGATGATTTGTCAGTCTGGGATATTATATTATATTATATTAATTATATTGTTATTATTAATAATACGATAGCAGCCGTTAAGTTGAATTAAATTTTATAAATATTATTTGCATTATTAGGTATAATATTTCAATATTTGTACTTAATAATATAGGTACTTGAGAAGTTTCAAGTCCCCATGAATATTATTTTAAATTACAACAATATAACTAAAATCATTATTCTCATTATTTAATATGTGATTTTGTACAAATTTAAACTTAGAATAATAATAATAAACTGTATTTATATATTTTTTAAATTTTTTTGATAAGTAATGTTAGGTTTATATATTAAATGTTATAGTCTATTAAATCTTAATATTTTTTCTCATATAGATTACACTTTTGAAGATGAAGATGGTATGTCTATTGAGATTATTATTATGACTTTGGCGAAGGTCCTATAATTCCACAAATGGCTATTTATTCTGGAATCAACACAAGTTAATTAATAGGTTACTTAAAATTAGATTAATTTTATAACAAAGTAAATATTTGATTTTATAAAATTGTCTAACACTTTTACTGATACTTTTACACTTTTATTCAAATCTGCTTTCAAAAATTAATATCAGAACATTAAATTGGGCGTAGTGATTGAAGTCGTGAGCTATGTTTTCGACCGAAAATTAATCACGCTCCAGCCCCCTTAATATGGGGCATGGAACACAATTCACAGCGACCCATAATATGGATAATAAATTATATAGTACCGTTTGATAACCTAAGTTACCGTCAACAAAAGCTCATGAGTTGAGTTATGATAACATATAACATATATCAAGAGCGAAGAATAAAAATGTTCTATGTCCATTTTTTTTTTAAAAATCGTTTTTTTCGCATAAATTTGTTTTTTATATAATGCATCTTTTTATTCGAAAAACTACTCAGTGAGAAACAGAAAATGAAAATGTTCTATGTCATGAATAAATACTGAATCGTTATTATATTGTTATAGTTCCATAGAACTTTTTTATTCTGATAAGTTTACGTAAGTATGAAAATGTTCGGTCGTCACGTTATTCAATGTTGGTTAGTATTAAAAGGTTTTATCAATAATACACGTCGATGAAACAATAAAAACAAAAAGGTGGGCAAGTGGGTGTCGCTCTGCTGTACAGTAGGTTACAAGTGGGTCATTATATAATGGATGGTATTAAATTTGAATTCAATGATATAATATAATTGTATAAGAAAAACGATTCTGAGCGGAGACGGTATTTTATTGACAATTATAAAAAAAAAACTAAAAAAAATGAAAACTGAAAATGTCCGTAAACAGCTCAAAAAGAGTCAAAATATTTTCAAAATTGTATGGTGTATAGGAAATGCTAATATAAACATTCAGTGAAATATTCATATATCTATAGTTATTCGTTTATGAATTACAACAAAATAAGGAAATCGCTACATGAGAAATCGAGTGAACATCCAATGTTGTAAAAATTTGAATTTCAAACGCTCATAAAAATTTAATTTGACTGTCCGGTAGAGATTTTTTTATTGATAAAGGTAGACAAACTTATGAGTAATCTTGTATTGCATTTTAAAATCTTAGATTTAAAAAGAAAAATTTTTGCGAATTCTTAACTCAAAATAATTTGCTAATTTTCGTGATTTTTCCATATTTTGTCAATTTTTGAACTTTAAATGCTTATAAAAAAAAACTGTGACTAACGATTTTTAATATTTTTCATCTGCCTTTGAAACAATATACTAGGAGTCTTCTATTAAATTTTCAAGTTTTTTTAACCAACAAATAAAATTTTATTGATATTTCTAGAAAAATAACTAAAAAAAAATGAAAAATGAAAATTTCCCTAAACAGTTCAAAATAAATCAAAATATTTTGAAAATGTTATCGTGTATAGAAAATGCAAATATAAACAACCAGTGAAAATTTCATGTATCTACGGTCATTTGTTTTAAAGTTACACCAAAAACAAAATTCGATTTTTTGGAAAATCGATTTTGCGTAAAAATTCCCGTTTTTCCTTAATTTTTATGTTGTTTTTTCCCGGCGCTTGTGAAAACTACTGGAAAATGTTTACTTTTGACCCCCCAAAGTACCAACTAGATTCACTTTACTATCAGAAAAGGTACTATTGAAGAAAATCGAAGCACTTTTACTGTCCCAAAACGTGATGACAGACACAAAAAAAAATATAAAAATATAAAAATATAAAAAAAAACACACATCATTGTAAAACCAATACATTCATCGCTCCGCTCAGAATCTAAAAAGTTTTACCTTTGTATATCATATCATTTAGTTGGAATAATGGAAAGATGCTGAGAA